AGATAGAATCTTATTAAATTATAATAAGACTTATTTTATGCAGTTCCTTCCAAATATATATTTGGATACCACTGAATTCAGTACTTATAAAATTAACTCTACTAACTCCATTAAAATTTTAGGTATTATAATAGAATCTTCATTAACATGGAAAGAACATATTGATTATATATAAATTCAAAGTTAAATTCGTTAGGCTACTGCTCAGTACAACGCACGCATTCACAAGAGAAGGACTGCCACATTAACTTCATTGGTTTTTGATAATAGATTGCCACTCAATATCTTTTGGGCAATACTAGTATAGTATTCATTAAAGACATTGGCTATAGCTTTTGGATCCTGTATATTTACTCCGTTCTCTTTCGATATTCTTCGTTGCTTTTTTCTGTTTACCTAGTTCCTCCTTAACTAGGTCCCAAATGGCTTTTGATGTATTCCCTGATGCTCTTATTTGCATGTTGTTAGTTAATTTTCTCGCTTCACTAATAACTTTGTTGTATATTTTTTTGTAATGACAATAGTATTCTTTAAATTCTTCTGGCATATTTCCTTCTTTCGTTAGACTATTAAGAAACCTGAGTCTATTTCCTGATACCCTTATTCCTGAGGTAACCCATTTATTTTCCTGCTGTTTAGTTTTTACCCGGTTTTTAGGCTTAGCTATATCGTAATAATACTATAAAGTACCTAAAAATTCATTGTATGCCTCATTCGCTGAATTTTGCGTAAAAGCAAGCTCCCAAGTCTCTTTTTCTAGTAGATAGTTTAAGTACTGTACATTCTCTCCCCTGTAAGATCTAGCTATTCTGAATTCTTCCTTTAGTCTAACTTGCCCCTTTTTATTCTTATACTGCATCTGTATTGTAGTATCTGTGCTTTATGGTCAGAAAATCCTGTTTCATTCACCTTAAGATTGTATCCCCATAAGCCCTTGTTAAATATTACTTGATCTATTGCTGTTTGACTTCTAGGTCCTATTCTCATTGTGACATCAACTATTGCTTGCAACCCATATGAGTTTAACATTGTCTGTAGTTGTAGATTTACTCTTCTTCCTAGGAAATCTATGTTGAAATCACCTACGATAATGATGCTCCTCCCTTTGTTTATTAATTTACTAATTATTGTGTCTATGGTTGCAATAAATATATTAATATTACTGTTTTGAGTTCTATATACACAGATAATAATTGTATTAAACTGGATAAGTTCGATCATACCAGCCTCAAAGTGTTCTCCTGGATTCAAGTTTTCAAACAAGTTATAAGGCTTTGCTTCTAGATTTGTTTTGACATAGNCATCTGTATTGTAGTATCTGTGCTTTATGGTCAGAAAATCCTGTTTCATTCACCTTAAGATTGTATCCCCATAAGCCCTTGTTAAATATTACTTGATCTATTGCTGTTTGACTTCTAGGTCCTATTCTCATTGTGACATCAACTATTGCTTGCAACCCATATGTTTAACATTGTCTGTAGTTGTAGATTTACTCTTCTTCCTAGGAAATCTATGTTGAAATCACCTACGATAATGATGCTCCTCCCTTTGTTTATTAATTTACTAATTATTGTGTCTATGGTTGCAATAAATATATTAATATTACTGTTTTGAGTTCTATATACACAGATAATAATTGTATTAAACTGGATAAGTTCGATCATACCAGCCTCAAAGTGTTCTTCTGGATTCAAGTTTTCAAACAAGTTATAAGGCTTTGCTTCTAGATTTGTTTTGACATAGATACATGAGTCTCCATGCTGCTTATTTTTCCTACAGAATTTCGATATAAGGGAATAGTTTTCAAAATTATAATAACCTATTTCTTTTTCCTCTAACCAGTGTTTACGTCCAACTCTAGTGCTTTATCTGTTAGTAGCACATCCATATTTAGCTTTTTATTATTTAGTCTTTGCACATTTTGATGGAATATCTGAATGTTTGCATTGACCTCATTATTATTATTCTTGAGGATACCAGCACTATGCTTATCTATAAAAAATCTTTACTTAGCTTTACTGGGGGCTTTCCCTGTCTGGTTGACATATGAACTTCCTGTTGTTGATCTTCAAATAGCACCGCACAGTTAAGGGATGGGTCTGCTAAAATTTTCTCTGTTNATTTGGTGAATTAATTAAATCTTACTTAAGTAATAGGTATCAAAGAGTAATAATTAAGTCAGTATGCTTCAAATTATGTTTTAGCCTGGGGATTAGGTAAACATGTAGTGCTCCAAGGGTCGATTCTTGGACCCTTATTGCTTTTATTTTATATAAATGATCTACCTAAATTAGTAAAAGGCAAAGCNTGTGATAAAAGAGTTTGTGGGGAGGATGTACATAGAAAATAATGAAGATAATATTATTTCCAATAAAAAAGGTGAATGTTCCATCATAATAAATTATATTAAGTGTAAAATACAGAGATTGCTAGAGAAATCAGTTCAACTGTGTGCTAAGTCATTGATGTAGAGGACAGGAATATCTTTCCACTGATATAGGATTTTCACAGTATTTTTTGTTGTAGTACATAGGTAAGTCAATAAGTANTATCAAATTCTGATACAGTGAAGATGGACCAAGATGTTAAAGTAGTTCTTGAGATTACACAAAAATGGTTTAACTCAGATAGAATCTTATTAAATTATAATAAGACTTATTTTATACATTTCCTTCCAAATATATATTTGGATACCACTGAATTCAGTACTTATAAAATTAACTCTACTAACTCCATTAAAATTTTATTTATTATAATAGAATCTTCATTAACATGGAAAGAACATATTGATTATATA